ACTTTAATATATGGGTACTTATGAGTCACTGCAAATTCACTGGAAAAGAAAGTGGAATATGGATGAATAGATGGATGCATAGATGGATGCCTGGCCTGGAAATTGGTCATTTTCCAATGCTCATGGGAAAGGATACAGATCTATGAAAACTAGAGTGGGGGAGTTCCCTGCCTTTCTAGCCTAGAAATAAGTACCCATTTGCTATAGAAAACACCATTGGTGGAAGAATGACCTTTCAAACAAGTCAGAAAAGTCCATGTTCTGGAAAGAGCAACTTGTCCACTTTTAATTCTGACATGATCATCCATCTATCTATGTAAATCTATACATTTACAAGTATACATATGAAATTTAAACCAAGGTCTCTAAGACCCTACACCATCTTGGTCCCGCCTCTTCTAACCTCATTTACTTCAATCCTTCAATCGCTCTCCTAGAGCTTGCTCCTACCAGCCATTCAGCTTTATTGCTGACACTCCAAAATACCAAGGTTGATTACTCAGGATCTCTGTACCTTTTTTTCTGAATGAACTATTCTTTACCAGAAAAAAAAAAAAAAAACACAGACATTGTATGGCTCACTGTAAATTTCCTTAGGTGTCTGCTTACCTGTCACTCACCAGTGAGGCTCTTCTTGACCATCTCATACAAAAGAGCCTTCCTCACTGTCACCATCATTCTGTACGCCCTTACTATGCCTTTATTTTTCTCCATAGCACCTGCCACTAAATGACAGACTATGTAATCTATTTGGTTTTTGTTTATCTCCCTACACACCCACACACACACACACACACGCATATACACACACACAAAACCATACTCGGATTTGCTCATTGTGGTCCATAAAGCACCATAACAGTATTTGGTCAACAATAGACACTCAGGGTTAAATGGATAGATGACTCTCTTTTATTGTTCGCTCTTTCCTGTTACACATTTTCACAGAAACTTATGAAGCAACTTTGGCCCAATGAACTGTGATGCAGGAAAAAGAACAATAGCCTGAGAATTGAAGACTGGATTTTAGGCCTGATTTAGACATTAACAAGGTGTGAGATTCTAGGCCCTCAATTGCCATCTCAGGGCTAGTTTTAGTGTTTTTTTTTTTTTTTTTAATGAGAGTTTATTTGAGCCAAAATGACAACATGTGCCAGGAGCAAGATCTCAAATTCTCCCTTTATTCCTCCTTAAAGTAAGAAGCAGAACTAAAGGACCCCTAAAAGTCCTTCTAGCACTACCAATCTGTGATTACTCTGTAAACTATTTCTGCATTTAGGTAGGGGAAGAGAGGGAATCAGTATAATCTCAAAGGCCAAATATGATAACTGAAATAGTATGGAGCCAGCCAATCTTAAAAGAACCAATGGGGAATGAAGGGAATGCACTGGTGTGAATGTGTATTTGTGAGAGCCGAGGAGAAACGGACAAAGAGAGAGTATGTGTTTAGGAAAGAAGTAGAATTCCTCCTGTAGCAGCTCCTGGGTCCTCCTTTCTTGACCATATCTTTATTCTCCTCCCATGAGTTTCCTTTTCCTGTGGAGCCTGACCACATAAACCCACACTCTCCATTCTTCTATAACTCTCACCTCTTTCTCAAACATTTGGAACACCTCATGGGCACAGCCCTTGATGGCACCTACATGTAATGCCATGAGTCAAGCCCTACTATCATTAGACAGGAGAAACAAAAGTTGATTCCTGTCTCTACTGAAGGAGGGTAAAAAGTCACAGGTCGGGAGAGCCTCTTCCCAGGATTAATCTCTTTACCCTTTCCTTTCTCCTAGAAGAGATGAACTGGATGATAGAGAAGCGACACTATTTCAACTGGTATTCTGTGAACTCACCATCATCTAAAGCCCTCGGTTGGCCTTTTGTAGATTTTAACCACAGCTGCTGGAAGCTGAGACAGGCAGGAATATGCAAGAGGGACTCACAGTTTCAATTACACAGCCTTTCTGCAGAGACACCAACAGTTCCCTCAGAAACAATGATCTCAAGTTGAAATTCACTTAGCATTCACTCCTCAGAAACGAGAATACAAACTAACTTTTTGTTTTAGGCAGACTACTATGTTGCAAAAAGGATGAAGTTTCGGGTAAAATTCCAAGGAGTTTGAATACTATTGTCTCCACTTACTAGCTGTGTGATTTGAAACTATAACTTCTTCACATCTCTGTAAAACTATGAGGATACTTATATAACAGAGTAACTCTGATAAATGTCATACTCTTTCAAAAGTGTTTAATAGTGCCTGGCACTGGATATGTTGATTCTCCTCTCACCGCCTCCTTGAAGGGGTTTACTGCCATCTGCGGGCCTAAAGGCTCCTAGAATGAGGTACAGTGAGGTACACCCGCATGGGTTCCCTACGCAGCACACGCTACTTACAACACAGCAACGCAGACTGGCCCTTCTTTACCCAGTTCTTTGAGCCAAATGTCCCTGCAGATAGGGATTACCTACAATTTTACTTCCTTAATATGAACCATCAAGCTGGTCTTTGCTCTTCACCTGTCCCTCAGGTACTTCGGGGTCACCGGCCTTTAGTACCAAAACACAGCCAAGCTACGCATAACACGGCCTGATCACCCCACTGCGAATGTAGGAAGCAGTGATTCGCTCAGATTTCCCAGAGTCCTTCGAAGAAACCATCGGAGACTACATTTTCCATAAGGCTCGTGGAACTTAGGTCTGGAAGGTATCAGAGGTTTCCTCTTCACCCAGCAGAGATTTCTAGAGCTTGAGCTTCGTTCATGGAGAGCTCTGGTCATATTGAAAAGAAATGTGTACGTAAGTTTTACATATTAATATAGACATGATATATAGAAAACATATGCCATACAGATATGGCAAATAGAAAACAATAACTTATTAAAAGGAAAATATATCATGACCAAGTATGCTTTCTTCATTTTATTTTTAAAAAGAATTAAACTTATTTTAGTAATATGGAAATAACATAAGCATATTGTAACTAAATCATTTTTAAACATAGATTATGCAAATTATGTATTAGATCCGTGTCAAAAAGGTTTTTTGTTTCAAACAGCCCAGTTATGGGTATGTTTCAAAGTTTTATTACAATCTTGTTGCAAGGGAGCAGCAAGAGCTCAACTTCAAGTTTCACTCAGGGAAAAGACTTTATATAGGAAAAGAGAAGGTGGACAACTACTTTCTAGAACAAGACTTAATCCCATTAAAGTCATTTTAAAATTGCTTATCAGGAATAATTTTTCCAGAAAGAAGTCATGAATCATAGTATGAAAAAATTTTTTTTCCTATACCAGGTTTGGGACAATTTCTCTTTATAGGGTTCTTCAGACCTTTCTCTCCCTATCCCACCCCCTGCCCTTTTTTTTTAAAAAAATGTGTATACTGTGAGGCCTATTATAAGCATATATCTAACATTCATTCAACTAAAACATGTTGATTTAATTTCTATGTTTGGATGGAGCTGAGCATAGTTTTGGTTTTCTTCTTGCCAAAATTTTATACAGCCTAGGCAATGGAGGTCAGTGACAAAAGCTAAGTGAGTTTATATTTGTCCAGTACTGGAAATATATTTTAATTCATTCTGTATTCCTTCTTACACTTATGGAAGGGAGCTAACAAATTACTTATGGGACATATTATATGCTTCCTGATATATTACAATTAAAATTCTTGTTTTAGTCCCTTATTCCTATAGCAGACCACTGCACACTTCTCGCTACCTTGACCTGCAGAGCTGTTCTCTCAAGGGGACTTCACATCATCCTGGCAACAGTGGAAACTTCTACTCCCTCCTAATATGTGTCCTTTAGTTTTAAGTATTTTGGAGTTTCTCACATGAGAGGCATGGGAAGGGGAGATAGGATGCAAATGGTGAGCATTAAGTAGGCAAAATGAGGATTTCATGTAGGAAATGAGAAATCTGCTGAGCTGAAGAAAAGGAAAGTCCTGTGACTATAAATACCTAAAGAATTCCCTGTGTGGCTGGTAAACAGACAATTCCAAAAGTTTCCAGAAACTCTGGAATGACTGCAAAAGTGAAAGTAGCATGAAGCCCCCTAATATAACTTGGAAAATGTTAAAGAAAAAAGATATTCAATGACACTTATTAAAGATGGCAAGGCAGACCTTATTCAGGACTATCATAAGAGATACAGGGACCACAGCAATGAGATTTTAGTAGAGGAGAAAATATTGAGCTCAAATCCAAATACAGCATGGACAAGTGGGAATTTATAGCCAAGGAGTAGGGTGAGGGTCAGTGGATGGAAAATTAATAAGAGGAAACACCAGGAGTAAGAGGGGAGGTGGGGTTCTGATTAAATCTACCTAACAGGATTCTTGCTGAAGATAGGCCAGGGTGATAAGACATCACCTGAAGGGTGGTGAGGATGAGTAATTCATCAGATATCAAGGGTGGGAGTTCTGCATAAAATGCTTTAGCAGGGTTCCTACGGAAAACTAAATTTTACAAGGAAGTGCACAGATGGGCCTAGGACTAAAGTTTGGTCAAAGAATATTTGTCAGTAGACAAGATTTAATTTAGATCCTTAAGTTCTAGTATGCTTGTTCAAAAAAGCACTACCATTCATTTATAATCACTACTCAACATTACTTTTCAAAAAATGGCTAATGAAAGAAAACCAATGCAACGTAGCTGTAACAGAGTTTAAACTTAAAGGTAAGAGGCTTGATTTCTGAATTTAGGTTCAAGCTGTTTTAGCGTCACCCTAGAAAAGTCATAAAGGTTTTTTGACATTATCAAGAAATACTGTGGATGGCAATAAAAACTTTAAATAATGGATGGGTCATCCTTTAAAGAACTATGTGGAATTTACAAACTGTCACATTTCAGAGCAAAGCTGCTAAGCAGAAAAATTTGCTCTTTTCACCTTAGTTAATGCTGTCTGTGCTGTCACATGTAGAAAATTCCAGGCACCCCTAGGAGCTAAACTTGTATTAACTTCTTACAAAAAACACAAAAATCAGACCCAAAAACTAGCTCCTCGAAGGTTGCAAGATATCATGACACCCTACTTTATTAAAATCAAATACAGACACCTCAGTTAAATACTATTTGAACTGCGCTTACATCTTATGTAGATACACCAATGAAAAAGAACAGGAATGTTTGAGTGTAAATGTTTTAATTACATACTTATTTAAATACTTCTTTCCCTGAACTGAATGCTTATTGCACTACAGAATACAATTGCTTTTTCCCTCTCAATTGGTATCTTGTTAAATTTTTTGTTTTGGTGTTTACATACATAGGAAAGTATCTTTATAACAAGTTTTATAATTAAAGAGGAGACACTAATTCAGTAACACTGCCATGCCCATTAAAAGTGCCAGCGAATGGGAGAAAATATTACTGAAATTCATACTAGATATCAAAACACATTTTTTTCACTTGTATGTTGTTAGAAGAAAAGTGGTGATATTTACTGCAGAAACTTTATATAATTTAGTATAACATATAAACATTTTAAATTCACTTACATAATTATATAATGTTATAAAAATAAAGATATGGTAAATTCGGTTTTCACTGATTCCTTAATTTATGCTTTCTTTCTAAGTTCTATGCTCTATTATTTATAATTCAATGTTTTCTGTGATCTTTTCTATAGAATCTTTATTATCACTTCCAGAACATGATTGGCATTGACTATCTTTTTATGGGAATCTACATTTCCAAATTCACTCAAATTCATGGATTTCACCTCACCATGAATTCTCTATTTAATAAGATTTATTCGATATCTAAGGCTTTCTCATATTCATAAGTGAATATTATGTGTGAATTTTCTGATGTACAATAAGATTTGACTTCTGTGAAAATGCTTTCCCACATTTGTTACATTCATAAGGCTTTTCTCCTGTATGAGTGATCTGATGTCTAAGGAGATGAGACTTCTTGATGAAGGCTTTGCCACATTCAATACATCCATAAGGTTTCTCTCCTGTGTGAATTCTTTGATGTGTAACAAGCACAGATGTGTTGCCAAAGGCTTTGCCACATACGATACATTGATATGGTTTCTCTCCAGTATGAAACCTGGAATGTTTGTAAAGGGATGAACTGTACTTGAAGGTTTTTCCACATTCTTTACATTCAAATGAGTTCTCCAGTGTATGAGATTTCACATGTTGAGTAAAGGAGGAATTCCAAGTGAACGATTTCCCACACTGACTGCATTCGTAAGGTTTCTCTCCAGTGTGAAGTCTCTGGTGGACCACGAGCTGTGCTTTATGCATAAAAGCTTTTCCACAATCATTGCACACAAAGGGTCTCTCTCCACTATGAACCTTCTGATGATTTGCAAGGTGTGCCTTCCTGCTATAGGCTTTACCACACTCATTGCATTCAAAGTGTTTTTTTCTTGTATGATTTTTTTCATGTCTAATGACATGAAACTTCTTTTTGGAGGCTTTCCCACATTCCTTGCATTCATAAAGGTTTTCTCCAGTATACAATCTGTTATAATTAAGTAAGTCTAAAGTGGGTTGAAAACTCTTTCCATGTGATTTGCATTTATATGATCTTTTTCTTGTAGGATTAAGACTTGTGCTCATATTATAACCATGGAGTCTCTCCATAGTCAGAATTTTATTGAATGTAAACAAAACTGAATTCAAAAAACTGTCCTTGCTTTCCTGGTGCTTCTCTGATGCATCAACATGTGGGCACTCGGCTTCTAAAAAGGAGTATAATAAAACATTCCTAGTTAATTTTTTCCATCAACAATTACAGAAAGAAACTTATATGACTTCAAATCTAGTCTCTTGTTTTGAAACAAATCCTATATTTGCCTTGCTCCTGAGCTTTAAGAATAAAACTCTAAAGAGGAAATGGGAGCAGATGAATGACAAGAAGAAGAGATAGCTTAATTGGTGACTTATGGAAAGACAGTAAAATAGGCACAAGGTATAGTGAGTAGGATACAAGGGAAGTCAAAGGATGCTCAACAAGGGTGCATGGTTAGTTCACAGAATGGATGGAGCCCACTGTGGAGATATGATGAATTGATAGGGTAACCAGAGGAACAAGAGACAAGCAAGTTAAGGGAAAATATCAGAGGAAAAAATTGATTTAAAGGAGGCAGATCAGAGTCCTCACTACCTAAGTTTGAGGTTACTCTTTAGGATAGCTCCCTATTACTCTTATTCATGTCTCTCTTTCCTCTTAACCACCTGACACAATGTCGGTTCCCTTCAGGAACATTCTTTAATCTCCAGTCCTCTAACCCCAACCAAACCACAGTAGAGACAGACATACCTGTAGACAGGGCTGCAGCTCTGCTATAGCTGGGCATCATTCTTACATGTACTTTCTTATAACCCAGGAACACAAATGTCCAGCAAGCCATTCAAGGGCAAGTCATCCTTAGCCCAGGCACAGATTCTTTCTGCTTGCTATTGTTTTTATTCTGGCTGGGTTTCTATATATGACAACTATTTGTCGTGTTTTTATTTGACAAATACTGTTTTTACATCCTCTTTCAATCTGCCTAACAAACTAACCCCAGAAAGCTGCCTTGCTCCTAAAGTCACACTTTTTCATGCCTATCCTCAAAAATCATATAAATCCCAAACCCATTGCTCCATTAAAAAAAAAGAAGAAGAAGTAGAAGAAGAAAATAGGAATAGAGGATTATAATTCCCTGCTTCTGAGTTTCCTTTCATATGAAGTGTTAGCAAAACACCCTTAGCCTCCTGCTCCATTCCTTTATCTTTCTCTGTGGAGCTGGACTGAGTAGTAGGCTATAGATGTTAGTACATATTTCTTTATAGAGTCTAAGTATGAGGATTGGATTTCTGTCTTCTTTCCTCTCTTTTACAACCAATGGGAAGCAGCACCCTGTGCTACCTCAACCAACAATAACCAACTGAAGAATACAGGGTAATCAGCCTGGTGAACAAACTATGCAGTATAATGAATCTATTCGTAGTAACTAAGGATGCATTCGTTCAGTTGTCAACAACTACCTTCTCTTCCAAGGATTCTAGACTCTAAATAAATAATAATCTTTTGCTCATGTTCCTTCTCCACTGTAACCTGCCATCCCTCATCCCCTCTCATCCTATCTAGTACTTAGATATCTTTAGGAAGGAGCCATTGTTCCATGATCTCAAAAACTGACTCCTCCGATCCTTGCATACTTTATTTTATTTATTTTAGGCAAGGCAACTCTTGGTTGACCTCACAGATTGCAAGGACCTTGTCAGTTTACAATCCCTTATTTTTATTTTTTTATGCCTACAGCATCTGGTCTTCCTCGGTGGTCTCCCATCCAAGTACTAACCAGGCCCGACCCTGCTTAGCTTCCGAGATCAGATAGGACTGGGCTTGTTCAGGATGGCATGACCGTAGACTGATCCTTGCATACTTTAAGCTTTAAGCTCCATTTTCTTTGAACTTTTAAGGTAGTCACTGCTACTGCCTAAACCATGCATTTTGACAATTAACTAGACAAAACTGTAGTGTTATTGTACACTGAACAAACATTCCACACTCACCAATTTTTAGAATATTTTATATGGCTATGTTGCTTTTCAACTACAATTTACAAACCTGGAAAAAGGTAATGGGTTTTTTTTTTTTGCTTTCACTGACTACTTTTCAGGAAACAACAAAAAGCCTTGTTGAATGAAAGAATAAGAAACATCCCCATAATGCCTGAATTTACAATAATGAATGAAATGTTCACTAAATGCCCATTATGTGCTCAGCAATGGTGTAAAGGAAAAAAATGATATAAGTCTTTCTCTTTGGGGCATTTCATGAGAAAACCACAGGGTTTTTTAAAAAATCGAGACCGTATTTGTCAAGTTTTTATGATAGAGCCATACTGGAGTTGGGATGGGAGTCCAAAGGAAGTAGAGGGTAATGCAGACTGGAATTATCATAAGAGAAGAGAAATAAGAATTTAGATTTAGCAGCATGCTGGTTTTAGTTAGGTGGAGCCCAGCAGAATCGAAGGACTGATGCAGAGAAGAAAACTGTATAGAAGATGCTAAAGAACTCAACTGCCATGGAATAGGGAAAAGATGGATAATTCTGGCTAATTCTGGGATCACATTACAGAGGGCTTTAAAAGCCATTTAAATATCACAATACAGGTTATACAAGAATAATTTATGCTTATTTGTCAGGAGAGTGACAGGAAAAATGAAATAATTTCAATAAATCTTGCAGGAACATCTAAGATAAATCAGAAAATAGAATGGAATTTGCAATATAGGAATATAAACAGCACAGATGCCATATCAGGAGTTAAAATCCATTTGGTTTACATCATTAGATGTTGGGGTCTCAGGGAATTTAAAGTACACTTAATTGGTGTCATAATCATTTGAAACATATTTCTTTTATGGGCTCTGTGGAAAGGGAAAATTTTATTTTGAATCAGTCTTGGATAAACTAATAGTTGAAATCATAAGCAATAAGTCACAACAGTAGTTAAGGAGAAACTCTTGAGAGAAAAAAACCAAACTGCTTATCACAGTGACTTTGAGACTGCAAAGCAGCAGACCAGTCATTATTCTTTACTGTAATATAAAGATTATGGTGAAGGTTGAAGAATATTGGTTACTATAAAAAAACAGAGACTATAAGGCGAGATAGGGTTAAATTAGGGGAATGGAAAGTTGGTGAGGCAAAGATGCTAAAGATGACTTAAAACAAATAATTTTAGTCTTTAGAGTGATGCAGTTTCTGAGGGAGTTACTGTGGAAAAAAGTTAAGAAGATGTAAGGAGAAAGCAAGAAGCAAAAGGTAAATAAACAGTAAGAAAAGGTAAAGGCATATTAGCAAGGAACCAACTCGAATAAAAATAGAAGATAATTTCCAGTAGATAACTGACATTACCAATTGAGGCAGAAAGATGCACTAAAAGGTAGATACTCCAAGTTAGCACTGAGACTAAAGATAAGCAAGGTGAGGTACACAGGTGGGATATACAATGCAAGAAAAGGAATGAGTTTTTTAAAAAGGAAAATCATTAGAAAGCATAATGTAACAAAGTTTTTAAATAAAAACAACAACACACTACACACTTACTATCTGCCAACGATTTAAAGGGTTTTGCATGCATTGCCTCAAACAATCTGTACAAAGAAATCTGAGGTAAGAATTAATATTATCCCTATTTTATAAAGTTGTGCTACAAAGTAATTAGGTTAGACAGTGATTGGTGGAGGAAGACTTCGAATCCATAGAACCTGAATACATTATAAAGAAAAGATCTACGATCATGTTGACGAAGGAAAGCAAATGAAGATTTTAGAAATTAAGGGCACAAAGCAAAGATCTAGAAGGAGCCGGCAGTGCGAGAAGCCACAGCAGAGAAGAGACATTTCTTCGCACCAGAGTTGAGCAAAGAGGAACAGCAGCTATGTGGGAACGGTGAAAGTGAAGGTGTCATTTGAGGATCTGATGATATTATGTCAAGTATACCTAGTCACTTCCAAAGGTGTGTGGCTTTTTAGAGATGCTTCCTGCAAAGTATCTCAAAGGTGCCTGTCCCTCACTGACAGACTGGGATCTCAATTCCCAAGGCTCCCATCTACCTGGTTTCTCTCACTCACCCGGATGGCTCCAATATGGGTTCTCTCTCTCCACCATCTGTGGTTCTTGCCCTTGCTTGAAGATCACTTTTGTTTTGGTAACCGGACCTCCTGTTCATGGGAAACAACACAAACTGGGAACAAGGGGCTAGGGACAAACAACTTCCTCACAACTCACATCTGCCTCCTTGAGTCTCAGGGCCTGTAAAGGACGACAAGCAGTCTTCAGAACAGAAAGACCCTTCTCCTCCGTTTAGGAGGCAAATGCATAAACAGACTATCTGACCCCCAAAAGGGATTAAGAATCTTTGACCACTAAAATTCAGGGACAAACTTACTAGAGCTTCAGAATGTTCACAGCTTTCACGGGTCTTCAAGGAAGGGCACTATTAACACATTCTGAGTTACACTGAAAAGTTACCACCCACTGTCCTTACCCACTGAGATGAGGTTTCTAAAGTTCTCCAACATCACATCCCAATACAAGGTTCTCTGATCACAGTCAAGCAGCTGCCATTCCTCTGGGGTGAAGTCCAGAGCCACATCCTGGAATGTCACTGATCCCTGCAACAGCACATTGATCTTCAAACTAAAGTGTGCATTACTTAGGGACTTGCAAGAAAATCAGCCTCTTATGGTCATATTATGCTCATTGCTGAGTTTTCATAATGTTATGTATAATTACTGTATATTTGATTCAGAGATATATTTTGTGATAGAAACAAAAATCATATTAAAAATATTTAACTAGTACCAGCAATTCAATGGGAGGAAGTATAGTCTTTTTAACGAATGGTGTTGGGACAACTGGATAGCCACATGCAAAAGAATGAAGCTGAACTTGCCTCCCACACACACCTCACATCATATACAAAACTGAGCCTAAAAATGTGTCAGAGATCTAAATGTAAGAGCTAAAGTTATAAAATTATTAGAAGAAAACATAGGAGTAAATCTTGTGACCTTGGATTAGGCAGTGGTTTCTTAGATGTGACAGAAAAAGTTTAAGTGACAAGAGAAAAAATAGAAAAAATGGAATTCATCAAAATTAAAAATCTAGTGCTTCAAAGGACCACCAAGAAAACAAAACGACAACACAGAGAATGGAAAGAAATACTTGCAAATCATAAATCTGACAAGAGAGTTGTAACAAGAACATAAAAATAATTCTTATAACTCAACAATAAAGAGACAACCTAATTAAAAAATAGGCAAAGGATTTGAACAGACATTTTTCCAAAGACATATATAGTCCATAAGCTTATGAAGATGCTCAACATCACTAGTCATTAGCAAAATACAAATCAAAATCACAATGAGATATCACTTCGCACCCCCTAGGGTGGTTAAAAGTAAAGACAGACAATGACAAGTGTTAGCAAGGACATGGAGAATCTGGAACTCTTGTACATTGCTGGAGGGATTGTAAAATTGTTCAGCAACTATGGAAAACAGTTTGGCAGTTCCTCAAAATGTTAAACATAGAGTTACCATATGATCCAACAATTTCTCATAGATATATACGCAAGAGAACTGAAAGAATGCCCACATAAAAACCTGTATACACTTGTTCACAGCAGAATCATTAATAATGGCCAAAAAGCGAAATCAATATGGTCATCCATCAACTGATGAATGGATAAATAAACACGCTACTGTATATCCATATGATGCAATATTGCTCAGCAATAAAAAGGAATCTACAACATAGTTAAAACATTGAGCTGGAGGAAAGAAGCCAGTTACAAAAGATCAGATATTGTATGGTTCCACAGAAATGGGGAGTGACTGCTAACAGGTATGGGGTTTCTTTTAAGGGTAATGAAAATGTTCTTAAATTAAGACAGTAGTGATGGTTTCACAATTCCATGAATATAGCAAAACTACTGAATTGTATGTACTTTAAATAGGTTAATTTGTAATATGAAAATTATATCTCAGTAAAATTATTTTAAAATATTTTTACATTCTTCATTTGTTCACTCATAAAATATTTAATGAAGACTGACCAAATACTGTACTAATGATGCAAAAAATAAAATGAACACTGCCCTCAGAGATCTTAGTTTATTAGACACTACAAAGTAAACATATAAGTGCAATAAGATATTACAAGGGCTGTAAGGTTAACATACCAGACTCACATAATCACAATAAAATAGGAAGATGTGGATCTTTTAATACAATAAAATATATCCTCCCAACCACAAAGCCAAAATCATGTTTAATTAACTTAAACTGAAATTTTAAAAAGGGATGTGGCTATATGTCTATCACAAAAAGACAAGACTACATAGAGCAGAGGTCGGCAAATCACAACTCAAGGACTGGCTTCCTGTTTTTGTAAATAAAATATTACCAGAATGTAGTTAAACCCATTAATTTACTTCAGCTACAAGGGCAGAGTTGTATAGTTGCCACAGAGGCTGTATGGCCTTCAAGCCTAAAATATTTACTATTTGGCCCTTTAAAAAGTGAAAAAAAACTAGGTAGGTTTTATCCCAGGAAATCACAGATAGTTCAATATTGGGAAACGTATTAGAAATTTTCTATAAACTGTATTAGATAAATGAAAATATATGATTTTATTGACAGGTATTAAAAAAAGGATATGAGAAAAAAGTTCCCAGTTTATGAAAACAATCTTCACAAGTTAAAAATCCTTAACCTGATTAAAAACAAAAACAAAAAACAACTATCTACCAGAATACAAGAGGAAACAGTGAAACACTGGAAGCATTCCCATTAAAAATGGAACAAAAAGATTTTTGCTAGCAATTACATTCAAAATTATAGTTACTAGAAGTCCGGGTCATTGCAGTAAGACAAGAAAAAAATGGAGACATACACATTGCACAGTAAGGGACAAACTCCATTTGAAGAGTATATGACTGTCCAACTAGAAAATCTAAGGATCAACCAAAAATCTCTCAGACTTAATAAGAGTTCTGTAAGTTGACATACAGTCGTGTGCTGCATAATAATGTTTCAGTCAATGACTGACCACATAGACAATGATGATCCCATAAGATTATAATGGAGCTGAAAAATTCCCATCACATAGTGACGTCGTAGCTGTCATAATGTCACAGTGCAACACATTATTCATGTGTTTGTGGTAATGCTGGTGTAAACAAATCTATTGTGCTATCAGTCATATAAAAGTTTAGCACATACGGTTATGTACAGTATATGCTATTTAATAATAATGAACTACCTTTAAAAGTAATAAACTACTTTTTAATCATTATTTTATTTTTTTAAGTTTATTGGGGTAACCTTGGTTAATACAATTATATAATTTGAGGTATACAATTTGATATCTATATATTCTACTGTGTGATTACCACACATAGTCCAGTTTCCTTCACCTACCATATATTTGACCCCCTTTACCTCGTCTACCTCTTCTCTCCTCCCCCACCCCCTATCCCTTGGTAATCACTAGTCCATTGTCCATGTCCCTGAGTCTCTGTTTGTCCTGTTCATTTGTTGCTTTTAGGTTTACATCCCACATATAAGTGATATCATGTGATTTTGAACTTTTTCAGTCTGGCTTATTTCATTTAGCATGATTATCTCGAGGTCCATCCATGTTGTCACAAATGGCAGTATTTCATTTCTTCTTATGGCTGAGTAATATTCCATTGTATATATGTGCCACAGCTTCTTCAGCCAATCATCTATTGTAGGATACTTTGGTTGCTTCCATTTCCTGGCCACTGTGAATAGTGCTGCTATGAACATTGGTGTGCAAATATCTTTTCGGATATAGGTTTTCAAATCTTTGGGGGATTGCTGGATCATATGGTAAATCAATTCTTAGTTTTTTGAGGAACCTCCATACTGTTTTCCATAGTGGCTGTACCAATTTGCAGTCCCACCAGCAGTGTATGAAGGTTCCTTTTTCTCTGCATCCTCTCTAACATTTGTTATTACTTGTCCTGTTGATTACAGCTATTCTAACATGTGTGAGATGGTATCTCATTGTGGTTTTGATTTGCATTTCCCTAATAGCTAGCGATGCTGAACATCTTCTCGTATATTTGTTGGCCATTTGTATGTCTGATAGTGTCTGTTCAGGTCTTCTGCCCATTTTTTGATTGGATCATGTCTTTTTTGTTATTATTGAGTTGTATGAGTTTTTAATATATTTTGGATATTAGGCCCTTATCAGTGGCATTGCTTGCAAATATATTTTCTCATTCAGATGGTTGTCTCTTTACCTTGTTGATGATTTTTTTTTGCTGAGCAGAAGCTTTTTTGTTTGATGTAGTCCCATTCATTTATTTTTACTTTTACTTCCCCTGTCTTTGAGGTCAAATTCATAAAATCCTCTTTAAGTCCAAGGTCCTTGAGTTTAATTAATCACTATTTTAGAGTGGACTCTTTCTGCTTATTAAAAAAATTTACTGTAAAATGGTATGCATGTCACGCTGGCAGCAGCTTCATATATCTCATTTCCTGTATCTCCTGTGAATCATTTTCTCTTGTGCTTGGTTTACTCTTGTGTTGTTTTATACAGTAACATGCTGTACAGACTTTGTTGCCTAGAAGCAACAAGCTATTCCATCTAGCCTAGGTGTGTAGTAGGCTATACTATCCAGGTTTGTGTAAGTATACTCTATGATGTTCACACAATGATGAAATCACCTAATGACGCATTTCTCAATTGTAAAGCGGTGCATGACTATAAAGTCAAGTCGATTAATCCATAATTTCCTATATACAATAGCCAATAAGAAAACATAATAAAGATCCATACCATTCTCAATAGCAACTTTAACCACATGTAAGAATAAATGTTACCAAAAAAAGTACGAGAATTACAATAAAACTATAAAATTGTAATGGGAAAAAAGTAAATAGAGGACTCATTATTGAAAAGTTATTCTCTCCAAATTAATCTAAAAGTGTAATTCGATCACAATAAAATACCTAACACTCCTTTATGGATCTTCACAATCTTATTTTAAAATGCACATGGAAGAGAAAATCTTCAATAGCTGGAGACCCTGGAAAAGGTACAAAGTTTACTTATGGATCCAGATGAACATTAAAAGGGCTATGTACCTGGACTTACAAATTGAGTTCATATAATGAGACTTGGCACTGGTACTCTAGGGAACACTATTAGAAAGTCATAAGAAATCTGATGTTATAAAACATAACATCGCAGGATTCTTGCTGTGAATGTTATCTTTAACATTATATGTATGAAAATCCATTATAAGATTTTTTTTTCAGAGAACTGTGCCAAGAAAAACTTTACTTCTATGGGGAACATTTTTGCTTTATCCTCACAATGTCAAAACTTTTAACTGGTTGGCTATCCATTTTCTATGATCGCCAGAAAGACAAGGTACACATATGCAGCTCAAATCTATTACAACTATATGCAGATCCTGTGACCTGAATATCAACTAATCGATTTTCTAAATTTCCTTTTGGATCTAATCTATTCAAATCTACATTTCCTTTTTATATGGATTTTGAGAGATTTAAATGACTAAATAAATGGATGCCTTACCTGGAAGTTGATCATTTTCTGCAACTCTTGCACAGAGATCTATGAAAGCAGAAATGGGAAATAGAAAGACATGAAATATCAGGACTGCAATGTAGAACCCTGTTCTATCAAAACAAAAGCAACCCAGACTGTTGCCTCAGATAATGCCACCTAGTGGGAGAACGATGTTTCTAGCAAGTCAGAAAAGCCCCTATTTTATAAGCACCAATCTCTACTTGTGATTGTTATGAATGTATAGATGTTGTACAGAAATTTATCCTAATAATAAATGAGTTAAAAGACTAACTAAAAGCCTGGTCTCTGAAACGCAGCATCTCTGGAAGTCATGCCTTCCTGTGATTCTCTGGTCTCTGCTCTGAAGCTGGAGTAAGAGATCTCAAATTAGGCTGGACTTTCTTGAGAAGGCTGGATCTGGAGACTAGGAAACTATTTTTTTTTTTTTTTTTAACCTGGAGCCTTCGGTTTAGACTCCAAATCAATCAGTCAATCTCAATCTCTCCCTCTTTTAAATCATCATCTCGTATGAGTGCAGTCTACCAACACTGCTGGAGCCCTAGAAAAGCTACAGTGTGCAAGAGGGACTCACAGATTTAAGCTTTATTATAGAGTCTTAACTGGAAGATCTGCAGAGTCACCTAGAGATCCTTTTAAAAATGCCGACAAATAGAAATTTACTCAGTATTCGTTGCTCGGATATTTCAAAAGGATAACAAATCCAACTCTTCGGTTTTTGCAGGGGGCTATTTTGCAAAAAAGAATGAAATTTGTAGAAAATTTATCTGAATTTGAATCTCAGCTCTTCCAGTTCATAAGTTGTGTCTCTGGCCAAGTAACTTCTCTCAGCTTCAATTAATCATACGCAAAATGAAGATAACTTACTTCATATGATTGTTGTGAGAATACCTTAGGAAAACAGCATAGCAGTTTCTCTAAAAATGCTTTCTTCCTGGATTCCTTGAAATGGTTTAACTATTTCCTGTTGCAGGCTCTATAGGACCAACGGTGCTGCTGTAACCAGGAAAGGTAGTTTGATGCACAGACTCCTACACAGTGACCTTTA